GGGGGGGCTTAGATGTGACCGGGCAGAGTACAATAGGTTAATGTGGTCTTAATATAGTCGGCCCTCTGCAGTAATGTGACCCGAGGCATCAGCTCCCTTCACTCACATCTGTTGCCTTCTTCTCCGCCTGCTCCAGCTTCTCCTGGGCATCCTTCAGCGACTCCGAGTATTTGTCCAGCTCATCCTCCACTCCTTTCAGCTTCTTCTGCAGACCCAGCAGCTCCTCCTCCAGCTACACAAACACAAACACACACACACACACACACACACACACACACACACACACACACACACACACACACACACACACACACAGAAAATGTCAATCCAATGCAAAAGGTACAAAGTAAAAGCATGCAGCAGGTCTAGAGACATTGTTTTTTTTCTCAAACATTTTCTACCTTGAAACAAATGTCATCCAAATGTATTTACTTTTGAAGATGACTGTGTGTTTGAACATTTACTTTTTCAGGACTGCATAACTGTATTCTATATTTACAGTTCCCACAGGATCATTCCTAATGCTTTTGACCTGCTGACCTTTCCTTTAACACAGAGGAACGCTCATCACACAAAGCAACCATGGGCAATGCCTAATTGAGGGGATGATGTCATTGTTTCCAAAACACTCCTTTTATTTCGTCTTAAAGAATCGGCACTTTCAGAAGATATTTGAAAGTATCTCTGTTTTAGTGACCCGTTTGTGAGTGGAGCAGCGCCCAAGGTAAGATTTAAAAATACACCTTTGAACAAGGCCTTGAAATGGCAGTTAACCACAGGCATGTCACGTATGACGTCCAAACATTTCCGCCAATAAATCACATACAGAAAACTCATATGAATGACAGGAAACCTAATACCAATCATACACAGGACGTTTTAAATTCTACCAGGCGTATGACTCTGGCGTTTAATTATTTGGGACTCTAATGATGATATTGAAGCACGTTTTTTAATTGATGACCTCATGACAGAAATTATGAAGCCAACAGGTGGATTGCGCTTTTCCCTTTCGGACCACAGGCTTTTGTTACCCAATGACTCGTATGCAAAGATTGTTTCCATTTGCAACAGCAGCTTGGAGAACTATAAAAAGCCAATTGTAAATGACAGTGAAGTGGGCCGAGCGCAATGTGCCCCGGGAACAAATGTCCTCTCCGGATCACTTCTCCTCCGGCCCGCAGCCATGTAAGGCCTCTCAGTCACAAATAGACCGGGACGCTCCTGATCCCACAGTCCACATTGTGGCAAACCGACAGCCTTGACTGTCTTTCTGTGAGGAGCAACAATTCAAAGAAGGTGGGGGTCTTTAGAGGGGCCACAGAAATAGACATGCCGGTATTTAATGCTCCTCGGCAGAGAGGAGTGATTGTGTGAGCTGGGATCCCCCGAGACCACGGGCTATGTGGACAGTTGCGTGGTGGAATGATTGCCATCTATTTTTTTCACATGCTGGTAAATGACACCGTGGAGCTGCACCCTAACACATACAATAATATCACTGTGTGTTGTAGATTAAACTATAAACCCAGATGTATTTCTAACTGCTGGAAACCCTACATTAAATTGTGAGGCTTTCCACACTCTGCTCATATGTTCCATGACATGTTCCCCATCACCACATCCAGTCTTAGAGGCTGCTGGGCTGGGAGAGGATTGACTGAGCTGCGTGACCTCATTCATGGCCATGGGTATGAAAGGAAGATCTTGACCCTTGAACCCGTCTTTTAGTACTCCTTAAAATGGTTCCTATCAGCTATATGCAACAAAATGAGTTGATTCCACAACTTTAGAGCCATTATAATTACATGTAACTGCAATAAGACCATTGAAAAAGGAATGAAGACAGTATCTTACAGCTGTGCAGTGATGTGGAGAAACTTTAACAGTCCTGTTGGGAAATTAAACTTACAGAATTTCAATTAAAATGAACAATTGATTGAGGGTTGAGTCAATAGAGTAAACAAATGAACATTCAACACGAGGTTTATACTGGTGCACACTAACTCTCACAAGTATGTAATTGTCCCAGGACGCCCCTCGAGATAAAGTTGATATTTAATGAAAAATGACTAAATTAATTCACTTCATTACAACACTTGTAATGTGCTATGAATTATTTCAATGTCATTATTCAGATAAAATACAATTTCTCTATAGGCTACTCAGCTTTGGTTTGGTTTAAAGTTTAATTTGAAATGGCACCATTGAAAGCCACTGATAGTGTGACTAATATCAGACGGTGGATCTTGAATTATTTTTTGATGAAATACACACACCTGATCTGAACTTGTTCAAATCTGTGAGATATGGTGTTTGCAGTTAGGAGACAATAACGTTTCGTCTTTTGTCTGTTTTCTTGCTCAACATTGTTCTCATCTTACTATTATTTTATACATGGTATGTTTCTTAAAACTTTTTTTGAACATTTCTCGATAATAAACTTTTTATTTGACCAGATTTAGAATCAAAAGTACCGGAAAACAACTGAATAAAGTTATAAGCCGTCTGCCTGTGCTTTGATCTAAATGCATTATGGTCTATACTGTGAGTAGAGGGAGCGCTGGTCATCTGGGGGTCTCTACCTGTTTGCATTTGTCCTCTGCTCCCTTCTTGTCCCCCTCAGCCTGCTCTGCCCGGTCTATCGCGTTCTCCTTATCCAGCTTCAGCATCTGCATCTTCTTCTTGATGGCCTCCATGGTTGCTCCGGTCGTGTGTCTGACAGCAGCGGGAAAATAGGGCAGTAAATCCGGACAGAGATGGAGACAGAGACGGAGACTGCGGCACAGGGAAGGAGGTGGACAGGAGCGCGCGTGCAGCTAGTGTGAGCAGCTCAAGAAGAGTTGAGGATGGAATACCAGCTGCACGAGCAACACAATTTCCCCCAGTGAGCATCCGCACGAGGACTCTGTCCATATTTAGGCACCTAGAGTTGTCTGGTGCGCGCGCGCGCGTGCGTGCGTGTGTGTGTGTGTGTGTGTGTGTGTGTGTGTGTGTGTGTGTAAATCACAGGCAGGTGGGTCAGCTCTCCACCTGAGACAGAACTCTTAAACAACTCTTGTCTGGAGAAAAAGTAGCCTATGAGATCATGTGAATCAATTATGTTTGATATTTTTCTTCATAATCAGCGAAATTCAGACTTTTTTCATGCTACTGTTTTGATATCAAATGACAAAATCTCGTATACTGTATTTAATTACTGGTACTTGTAGGCTACTGCACTTGAGTATTAGTTAATTATCTTAATCGGTAAAGGAACTATCATTTTAAGATAAGAGTAGAGGAGTAAAAATGACAAATTTGGCTTCTAAAAGGTAGTAGCAATATTATAAGTAAAAATTACTCAGGTAAAGTATTTACAGTACTTGAGTACATTTACTTTATTGTCTGCTCTGAGTTATGAGAACCCTGGATCTTCAGGGGACTCAAAAACCCCTCTTGTGTGGCTGCCACAAAATGTTATTCTGAAGCACAATAAAGTGGTGCAGTGATGACGTGGAAGTAACCATCACAAGGAGTCCCTCGACAAAAAGCAATGGGATATTTCCATTGGAATTTAGAATATTGCAGAAAATAGGATCTGTAGCAAAAGCACGTGTATGATACTTACACATGTTGTTCAGAATCAGCAGTTAAATCTCTACTTATTAAAAACACTTTTAAGGGTAAATGCAATCGGCATAAGTAAAAAGCTAATATTAGACTGTGAAAGAATTACAGCATGGTCACATGACTTCACGTCACTACCGCTAAGCTAAAGGCGGCTAATGTTCGGTTTGATGACGTTTAGTAGTGGTCTCATTTAATCAATTGTGAGACTTGACTTTCACCATTGGTGTATTAACTGATGTATTTTATCTCGTTGAACAAAACATGAAGCTCTTGTAGGCTACTTTTTAGTTAATAAATAACTTTAACTAGGTCACATTACAAATATAGCTTACGTTCTGTACTTCAATTATATTTAAAAAAAGGTCTTAATTAAACCCAAACCATGATCTTTTTACTTAACTCATCTGAGAAGCTCGGTTTCAATTCACCTCGTGTTTGAAACGACTTCATAGGGGCCCAGCAACCTATTTTTGCCCGATGGCCTATAGACGGGGGTTAATCCGGCCATGCCTTACTAAACCTTAAGAATGAGTTGCAGCTGATATTACACACACAAGTCCATGAGACTGATATGATGTATGAGTATATCAGAAAATGATGCTGGTTATGAACACTTCCATTAAAACACATCGACTTTTCTCTAATATATTGCTGAGGAAGCGTAATGTCTGCAGAAGAGGGCGAAGACAGTGAGAAATGTCAAGAAATTGAATTCAACAGTGTCACTGAAAACTGGCTTTATTGAATATAAATCTGTTACAGTGCCAATGAGGTGGTGCTGCTGTAATTGAAGGCAAAATGTGAGCAAAAGAACAAAAAGACAGATGATTACAGTCACTATAAGGAATGCTGTGCAATGTTTGTTCGAAAAAATACTCAGTCAGAGAACATAACGACTTTGTACACACATGGTGTAAGGGTAGTTTGAAATGATGCTCTGATAAATTATGAAATGAAGTGCATCTAGGGGTATACGGTTAGTATCTGTTGATAATACCTGACCATTTGTATGAAGGCACTTTTTAAGCACAGCTACACTGGGGACACAGTGAGCTAACGTCATGCTAACGAGAAGTAACTCAGACTAGCATTGGTGATTGTACTGTGCAGGAATTCTCTGGAAAGTTTAAAGCACTGCGTCAGGCACCAATGTTGGTACAGATAACACAAACACCGAGCATCCACATACAGTCAATATGATGTCAAATGTATCAAAGTTAAATATATGGCTTCATAATCTTTACACAAACAAAATATTCTAATCTAAGGCCTAAATACTGAGAAAATACTGACTGAAAACGTTTACTAAGATGGCACCTTGTTGGAAGATTCCTTTATAATACATTTCATAGCTTGATCTTTAGAAAAATATGGTTTCCCCCTCTGATTTGTTACATTGCAAAGTTAATTTGTCCAAATCTAAACTTTAAAAACTACCATTTTATTTCATTTTCCTTAATACAGTATGACAAGTTACATACAGTACTGAACAAAATCACTGGTAATGAGACCGTTTCTCTCACCTCATGCTCACACACAACAAAAACGTCTGCATAGAAAATGTGCATAGAGTATGCATAATTTGCATAGAAGCCTTTATCGTGCTCTGCTCCATCTCTCTGATATCTGACAGTCGGCAGGAAAGCAGAATTTACCGGCATGATTTTTGTTACTTTAAGCCACACAAAAAAGCATGTACAAAAAAAAGAGAAAAATATATATGGAAAAGTATGTGATCATATATAATCAAAAGCACCGAAGGCATATATTTTTTATCAAAATGTATAATCATTGGCATCAGTTCACGTTTGACTTTAAGAATTAAATACAGAACCAGATTGATAGTGACCCTCTGTGGGGTGGAGTGATGTTCTTCTCTCCCTACATGTAGCTGGGGAAGGACCTGAACGCCCCACTAATCACTGCTGCCTCACACCCCCCCCCCCCCCCCCCCCCTCTCTCACTGGTCCTGGCCGTCCTCTCTCAACTCTGAGGGGAGGAACTTGTACTGCTGCTGTCTGATCGTGGCCAGCTTCCTCCGGGCCTCTTCCAGCTCCCTTTCTTTCCGCAGCATCTCCTCCTGAGCCGCGATGATCTGCAACACCACACAGCCAATCAGAGGGCAGGATGTAACCAGAACAATCCATAAGCCCCACCTCCACCCGACATAACTGAGACATAACTCACAGGGACTACAGATGAAAAAAAGCCTCTTGGCTGACTATGGCACATTTACAGAAATGTTGATTGATGTGCACTGTCCCTGATACAATAAATACATTAATAAAATAATACCAGTGTTGAAATGTAGCTTAGTAAATTAACTTTCTTTTAACCCCACACTCAATTTGGCTTTTTTGAGGTTGTGCCCGTAAACTAAAAGTAAAAGTCTTTCTTGTGAACAATAGCCCAATTCAGAATCATATTTATAAAATGACTGGATTATGATTATATTATAATATGCAAACCAAAACAGATGTAAGTAATATATAGCTCAGAAAGTGTGTCTGTTCTCCTCACCTGAGCGATGCCCCCCACCATCTTGCTCTTCACCACCACAGCCTGGTCGTCCTGAGCGTCGAACGCTGCTTTCTGCGCTGCCTTCACCAGGTTATCAGAGGCTCTCTTCACAGCGTTTCCAGCCGCCTGAGGGGAAAAACAAACACAAAAAACATTTTATATGTGTGTTAGTCCTCAAATTAAAAGGAGCTATCTGACAGAAAGTCCCCTTTTCTATTTGAGAGCTTTAAATGGTCACGACGTTTTGTGGAAGTGCTTGAAAACCCTTACAATGGTTTGGCTTATTTGGAGCAAACGTACCCGACTGTTTCCAAGTCATTTTTTATTTTCTCATCTTTATGTATTTGTTTCCATTGTTTTTATGGTTAGTCGTTGTGAAACTAATGAATACAGAGAACTAAAAGCATGCTTAACAGAGGTCTAATATATGTAACCATGGCTCGTGAACTTTTCTTTGAGGGAATGTGGAAGCAGACCCATCAGCTGTGCTGCCTGGAAACAGCAACTCCAGGAAAGGGAATGAGACGTTCCAGCAGCGCTCCGAGAGGAAACCATAACAGTTTTTTTTTCTCCTGCTGAGTGCCTGAGAATAACTGTAAAAGGCAACGACTGCTGAACTCCTCTGAAAGCCAAACATTTGTCTCATTGGGCGGCTTGCCTCTGAGGGAGAGGAGTTTTCTCCTTTTGCGGCTCCATGGCCTGAAATCAGACACTCAGCTGGCGGTCACACACACATTAGAGAATCCTCCTCTGGTGGTTTATCTTTGGCTGGAATGTTACTGTTAGTCTGGCCCTGACATACAGCATAACACAGCGTTAGAGCAAGGAGGTCAGGGGGGCAACTTAACACCCTGTTTTAACTGGGAAATGCAAAATTAAATCAATACAGCCGTCTACATCACTGACCTATGAGCTCACATTTCACTCACACAGCAGCAACCCAACTACGGCAAGCCGGATGGACACTGTCATGTTTCACGCACCAGTGTCAACAAGCCAATGGCTAAATGGCTGTGGGATGACGTGTTTTTTTTTTTTTTAGATCAGCAAGGGCTCCCTCGACAAAAAGCAATGAGATATTCCTTTTGTATTTTTGTATTATTGCAGGAAATCTGTGGAGTGAATTTTACTGAAATGTTTTTTTCAGCAGGATAATATCTACATATTAACACCACTTTTTTAATGTTTGAAGCCAAAATGCAATCCCAAGAAGTGAAAAGCTAACAATAGGCTAAACAGACTACATCACGGTCACATTGCTTCATGTCACCACCGCTAAAGGGGGGTTATAGTCTGTGTGATGACGCTAACTAGTGTAATTTAAAGCTGTTTTTTAAACCAGTGGGGTATTTACTCACATATTTTATGTTGTGGATCAAAATGTTTAAATTTCATCCACTAAACCTCATATCGAGCATCAAAACAAAACACCTATAGAAATGAAAGATGGACTTTGAAACGTGGAAACAGGAAGTGCCAACATGCTGACACATCTCTAGGTTTTAGGACTCATAACTGCTACTAATTTATGTGACAAGGCAATTTGGATTAGCATCTTTAAATCCATCAGAACATCATGTAATCGCTCCCAGGTTCTCTGATAAAGGATATTGCATTATTGGAGGTGGTACCAACTAAACCTTTATCTGTGTGGATGAGCCAGCTGATTTCCTGAACCACCTGCTGCCTTCAGGAACAGTCTAACAAAAACCTTTCTTCAGATGCTCAGATATTCCACAAAGAGACGGTACGTTACTCAGCACTCGGAATAATTACAACCCTTAAAAAGCACCACGGCACAGAGTGAAGAGAGCAAGTGCTGCTGGTGTAATCATAGGTCAGGGCTAATGTTTCCCGTGCTGGAGCCATGGCGCTCTGGTGGATTTTTCCAGAGCTCCTGTAGACATAAATGTATGGGTGGCAGCTGCAGGACAGAAGAGGAGGAGATAAGCCACTGCTGATTGGATCGGAGAATATGAGATGGCCTGGGCAGGCTGATGTGCTCACTAGCTGCTCACTAGCTACACACACACACACACACACACACACACACACACACACACACACACACACACACACACACACACACACACACACACACACACACACACACACACACACACACACACACACACACACACACACGACACACGACGACGACGACGACGGAGTAG